TTATTATATTTTTCTTCACGATTTATATATAGTTTATAATTGTTATTTTTTTAATCTTTTAAACAAACGCAAAAGAAAAACTTATTGTCTTGATAGGCACAGCTTAAACATCGATTACGGTTTAAAGTTATGGTTGGCAAATATAAAACATGTCTGGATTTAAATATTAATCTTAAAAATATTACGTAATATTCTTTTAGTTAAATGATAAAGTTACATTTTCAAACAATTTTAAGAAAGAAAGAATTAAGCTTTAAACTTTATTTTTTTGAAGCATTACATTTTATAGATTTTCTTTTATGGTCTTGTAACATCTAGTTAATGTCTCTTGAAATATTAAGCAAAATAATAAAAAAAGTTATGAATATTTATGGTTAAATTAAATGGTTTAAAAGCAAAATTTTAGATATTGGTCGAAAATGAGTTGAATTTTACCCCTTGCTTTTCTTGCAGTGTGTCTGTGTGTGTAGCCGGTTGACGTTAACAAGCTCAAGCGTACGACGGAATTGAAAAAAAACCGTAGGAAGGAGTTTATCAAGTCAATTGAGACCTGCGACAAAAGACCAAGCAGCAGCAGCGGCAAAAGCAACAACAGTCGCCGCTCGTAAGCGGCAGCAGCAGCATCATCAGACTGCTTTTGGTCGCAATGTCTGAATCATCAGCGTTTGGCAGCATTGTCGTGTGCATGTCGTCGGTATCTTTATCACAAGAAGGCCCGCAGAAGCTTCAGCTCCAGGAAAAAGATATAACACAAAAAAAATGAAAGAAGGAATGAAGAAAAAATCCAGGGCGACAATACCATCAAGCGAAGGGGCGGCTGCAGTTCTCTAGATTGGCGGACAAAGGCGAGACACAGTAATATCGGAGAGGAATCTAATTTGCATGCAATACGATTTTTGATAAAAGCTTTTACCCCAACATCAAATAAAACGACAAAGCAACAGCACACTTCGGAGTGCAGCCTGCAGTCTGTAGTCTGCAGATGTGTCCGTGATGCTCCACTCGCACTCGCACTCGACTATTCATAAGAATAACAGCCAAAGCCAGATAAGAAAAGCCAAAGACAGATATAGATTGGTTGGGGTGGGGGTGGAAATGGTGGGGATTTTCTTCGGCTGGGTGGTATGCTTTTCCAAGGCTTTGCCCCACCCCCGATGGCAATCAAAAAGTGCATTTGCGTGTGCCGTTTGCCGTCGCCTCGAGCTGAGCATTCGACTATTTGGGCATCTGCATGCGAAAAGTGCTCGACTGCAGGTAACTACACTCAGAAAATGAATCGCCCTGAATTTTAGAAAATCGCCTATGGATTTGCTTCACTGGCGATTTTTTTCTTTAAAATAAAAAAATTTTCTACTGGTAAAGAAAATTTTCTTCCAATTAATCAAAATTCATTAAATTCAAGAAATATTCCAGAAATATAGAAAAAAATCGCCAGTAAAGCAAATCCATAGGCGATTTTCTAAAATTTTTTTTTGAGTGTAGTTGCGACTCCCGGAGAGTGCCATGAACTGCAAGTCACAATTTGACACATGATCCATGGCATTGTCGTGTCTGACACGCGTTTTATCTCCGCTCTGGGAATCTTTCAGTGGCTGCGGGGGCGAAGGGGCGGAGCCGGGGGCGGGAAACACGAAAAGGGGGGACAAGGAAGGGGGCGTGGGCGTTGGCGTTGGCGTGCACATGATGTGCATGCATGCGTTTTCCTAAATGATTTCCAAAGAATTTTTATTGGTGAAAAAGGCGAAAGCGAAAACACATGCAGCAGCGGCACATAGACGAAAATGCTTAAATTTAATTTAAAGAAATAATAAAAAAAAAATAATAAAAATAGTATATGTTACTTTTAATAATAAAAATGGTAAAAAAAAATATTTTAAAATAATCCTGCAGTAAATATAGAAAACATGGAGATGATGAGATGAGATTTTTTAATAATTATGTAAAAACTACCTTGGAGAATTAAGTTTTAAAAAATAATTACCAAAAGTTTTGAAACAAATTTTTTTAATATTATTTTAAGAAAGTTTAATAATAGTAAACATAATAAAAATAAATTTGATATTTTAATTCACTTACAAAACTTTAGTTCTGATTTTTATTGCATCAACATTTTTCTTATAAACAAAGGTTATGAATTTAAACATTTTTCAACTTTTTCCTGACTTTGCAAATGTTTACTCAATTGTTAAATAAAATCTTTTTTAAAGTTTGTTCATTTTAAAAATATTATGATTTCTTTCGGTGCAACATCAGCGTGCAATGACAAAAACAAAAATCGATGGAAAGGAATGGGGAGCGTAGGAAACTTTATTGGCGTCTTCAAATTGTCAACTCGAAGTTCCGAAGTGTTTTATTTTATGCTTTGTTTCTCATATTTTCCGATGCCTTTTGTTGCCCAGCCCGTTGTTTTATCGCACATCTGTAAAAGGGCTACGCCGGCTCTCGGTTTCAGATTCGAATACAGCATACATATATGCATGCGCATATATGGACTCTATATGTCGGATGGGCAATGGTTATGGGGCCATTCAGCCGGAGTTGAAGTTGAAGTCTATGACGATGGCTTTTTATTATGCGCATTTCGGGTTTTTATGCTTCGGTTCCGGCATGTTTGTGTTTTCGTACACATATCTAAATATCGTACTTAAACGTTTACACATGTGATCGATGCGAGGGTGAGTGCAGAGCAGCAAATTGAAATGGTTGAAATGGGGGACCCCCTAACATTTAGCCAGCAGCGGACTCCAAGTGTCAATATTTTCTCTCGGGAAAGGGTTTTTAATGATGTGGCTGGTTTTATGAGCCATCAAATGGCTCTGTCAACACTTTGCCCTCAGTCAACGTTTTGCAATGCATTCGATAATGTTTCGATGTCCATTAAATCAATCATTATTTGTCTAACTTTATGCACTAAGCATGCATGTGTAATAAAAAAAAAATTAATCGTCTTGTTTAGAAATTATAAAACGGAAAGCTTTTGGTTATTGCAAAATATCCAAAATTCCTTAGAGTATTTTTTCTTTACTAAGAATTAATTGCATTTGAGAAAGTTATGGTTAATCAATTCAAAATTATTCATTGCATTTAACGAGATATAATAAACTAACAATAAAATATGTCAAAGAATATTTACGACTGGCGAGCACTAAAAAAATGTCAATAGGTGTGAGCAACTATTTTTAATGGCTAAATTAAATGATTTCTCCTTTATGACATAACTTTGGAAGCGCTGTGACCAGATTCTTGGAATCTCAAACAAAAAAACAAGATATTCAAAACGAAATTGCACCGCTGCTCTTGTCTCAGTGTTTTTTTGGAGTAGGGATGCAAAAACCAACTCCGAGAATTGGGAATACTTAAAATTCAAACGAAATAAAAACTTTTCTTTATGGCCGCAATTATAATTCGATAAAGCCGCAATCTTCCAGAACGCACGCGATGGGAGACCGAAGGCCAATTGGCATGACATTCAGATTCAGGTTCAGATTCGGAGGCGGCGGCCAAAAACTTTAACCTGGCCAAATGATACTTTTGAATGGGAGTTGCGTGCACCGCCTGTGTGTTGCGATTGCGTTGGGGATGCTGCGGGTATCAGCTACAAAAACTGCCGCCAAGTTCATAACGAGCAATACTTTTTTATTGGCTTTTTCCAGCGCCAAGAACCCCTAAGGCAACTAAAAAAATTTACATTTTTATTAAAATCTCCTCTTTTGGCAGGCGAACTATATACACACATGTGTGTGTGTATGTGTGCGGGACCATGGGCTGAATAAAATTGAATTCGACTGTGATTTTGGCCAGAATGGCAGAAGGGCAAGAGCCGGGCCAAGGCAAGCTCAACCTATAAGCCGGGCCAAAACAGCAAGTGAAGGCATAAATTGGTATTTATTGAACAATAGCAGCGCCCCGAGGATACTTAATTAGGAGTTTGTGCATTGTGCTTTCCAGCAGGGGTGAAATGCTCCCAGGTAAGCGGCTTACAAGCCGGTGGCTTACCTGTCTTGCCTGCCATCAATCACTGCTGAATATGGCTATTTTGACATATCTAGACAATCATAAGGAAAATACTTACACTGCCTAGAAAAATATTAATATGCTTGTTCCACAAATATTGCTAAACTGGAAAAAAATCAGACAATTTATAAGTTGACCTAGGTTTTAAAACTGATCGTAATTTGGATATAAGAAGACCAAAATCTATTCCATTTTTGTTAATAAATCTATTTTTATTTTTTTATAAATAAAAAGTATTAAGTATTTATTTCCTATTTTATTATTATTTTTATCTAATGCTAATTTATAATTAAAACTATAAGATAACAATTGGTTAAGTAAGTTATCAGCAAAAGGCTATAATCTCGATCAAGATAGTTTAGTTGGTGACTATTATTATTGTATTATATTTAATGGTTTTTATCTTTTATTTGGTATTTGGGATATATTTGGAATTTATTACTTTTATTAATTTTATTATCCCATATTTATTTCATTTCTTTCTGTGCAAATATTGGTGGTTTTCCAGCTGCAAAGATGAATAAAGACGGTGACTCTGGGGTTTTCGCTGCGAGCCCACAGCTGCTAGAATTCATTTCGAACTTTGCAATATAAATACATGTATATGTATAATAAATTTCCATTTGCCTTTGCTTTTGTTAGCGTTAACGTTTAACCCCACGCAACCCGGCAGGCGCCCGGCATAAGTTCAAACTGGTACGCGCCGCCTCAAACATGTGTTTATGGATTCTACGATGCTCTACTCCACAGAGCTGCCCCTTTTTCGGGGCGTGGGTGCGGAGTATCTGTGTGCTTTGTTTACATATTATGTACATATTTTTTGGCCTCTTGTTTTGCACGCCGTCGATAAGAGAGCGACCTCCTAACCCCCCTTTCCCCCGACATAGCCATCATCCACCCATTTTTTTCACTCGCTTATCAAAAGTTGCCCAAGCCCAAGCTGTTTACTTGAGCAACAATCTGCTGCCAGAACAGAGCCCCCCAGACCAGACTCGATTCCAGTTCGAGACCCAGTCCAAGACTCAGTCTGGATTCCACTCTCCAGCGCTTAAAGCTCTTAAGACTTTAACGCGACTTTAATATATAGCAGAGCATACAGATATATAGTACTGCCGCGCATCGTCATCTTTCCATCTTTCCCGGAAGAGTCTGCGGCGTAACAACTGCTTCCGAAATTGTAAATTCACAATGCGGCGCACATCTCGATTGATTCCGTTCAGTTTCGTCATCCTGCTCCTGGGGCTCCTCCTCCTCATCCTTCAGGTGCCATCAACATTCGGCCACACACGTAAGCCATTGATTATGGATATATGTATATCCATCCACACATGAAAAAACAGAATGTCTCTGTGATATTGTGATATCCCCCCATTGTTGCAAACAATACTTCTGTAAAATGATTTGCCGTTTTGATTGGCATTCGAGGAGAGCAATTTAGGACACAAATTTACAATCTTGACTTCGTAAATTGAGATGTTATAGCGAAATTAAAAAGTATTTATAATTACTCGGACTAAAAATTAAAGTAGAGCTGTTTAAAATTGGTTTAATTAAAATATCTTACATTTTTACTATTATAAATATTTTATTATTATTGTCAGAATAATCTGTATTTAAAATAAGTATTTCATATTTTCTATCCTTAACTCTAATTTATATTCCAACCCCGGTATACCTAAGTCTTAAAAACCGAATAAGCGAGTCCTTACTAATCGAAGGTATTATTCAAAAGCTCACACTTAACAATCCTGAAAAATTTACAAATATATATTTTTAGATAATTGACACATATTTATTGGCACGATTTATAATTTTATGATAAGAGATTTTAATTAACAAGAAATAATATTCTTTAGTTTCAAAAAGTATCCTATAAATATGACAAATTTAAAAAATTATAATACAAAGTAATACATTTATTTAAACAAATGTTAATGAACAAATGAATTAAATTCTCATTCCTAACTCCATTAATTTCATTAAACTCTTATCATCTTTTGATATTTTCTCACTGTGCCTGCCTGACCTTCTTCTGAAGTGGGGTCCAGCTGCCAGACGCCCGAGAAGAGCGAGGGCCGCTGTGTGCACTTCAGCTCCTGCCGCCTCGTCCTGCGGCACTATGCGATGTACAAGGAGCACATGCCGCCGGTGATAATGCGATTCCTGCAGAGGGCTCGCTGCAAGCCCAAAAACGAAGGCGTAAGTTGCGAATGCCCCATAAAAGTGTCTGGCAAAAACAATAACCCGTCGAACGGCTCTGATTCTAATGAAATTTCTCTTGTTCTTTTCGCTTCTTTTATTCTCATGTGGAATGCGTTGTATATATACATGATTCTCCCGTGGCAACATCAACGTCAACAAAGTATCATTTGTGCTGCGAACTCAAAGATGTGATTCCGGCGAACGCCAACTCCAAGCTGAAGTAAATCAACTTCAAAGTGCGTCGTCATGTGTTTGGTGCGTGTGGGCTTTGATCTGCTAAGTCTAAAATCAGTTGGTAGCTTTTTGTTTGGGCCCATAACCGAAATGTTATGGCCGGGGCCACATCGCATCGCCTGTAATTATAATGTGTACACGAATTATGTATTAAGTGCGCCTGCTTCTCCGTCTCGCCAGGCAACAGATGCTGAGACATAATAAAAATAAAAAGTTTAGCCTCAATCCTGACAGCTTTCCTCGCCCGAGAGTTGTGCCTTGCCTTGAGTTTGTTTTTGTGTGTTTGTTTTATTTAAAGCCGAGAACTCAGAACTGCCAAAAGCTAAAGCGCCTCTGAGTTGCGAAAATTCCTCTGGGACAACTGACGAAAATCAAAAGGGAATTTCAGCTCCATATTTACCAAGGGCCCTATTAAAAGCATAAATAAATTTAAACTTGCAATGCCCACACCTGCAGTCAGGTGTACACACAAAAAAAAGAGACGGGATCAAATTGATATGGGCATAGTAAATTTCTGGTATTAATACGCATGTCGTTTTTACCATGCAATACTGGTAAAATGGCGCTACATAGTGGGTGGAAAAAGACACACATTGCGAGCATATCAAATTGAGATGCCGCATAGTAACTCAAAATAGATACCAAATTGATTATCGTTTCATATTAATAATTTTGTTGGGTGTATAAATTCTTGAAATACATGGAGAGTTTATTCCAATTCGTTCGTTTTGATTCTGTCAAAAAGAAATATTCTTTGGACACCTAAAACTCTTTATTTAACCTGCCTAAACAGACGCCATTCCTTATTCATTTTAATATTGTTGCCCGAGTTTTATGTTGTCGCTTTGCTTGTTCAATGTTTAAATTTTCCCCTTTTGGCCAAAACAAGGGTTTCCATTACACAAAGCCGTCCAGTGCGGAGTGGAGTTCATTCCCTGTTATTTAATTTTGATTTATGCTCGTATCTGGTGTTGAAACATCCCTCGGCTTCTCTTCTCTTCTGCCTCCTGCCTTTTTGTGTGCTGACTTTAATGTGCCAGATTTTAAGTGACATTCGGGAGACGCTAAAAGGCCGTCTAAAAATCACGCAACATTAAGATGATTTATGCGGAATAATTTCAGTGTAAATGAGCCAGTCTCCGGGGCTGACCAGCAGTGGCTGCAAAGGAGTTGCTAGTGGGCTGGGTTTTTGGTCTGGCGATATGGAGTATGTAGCATGGAGCTCTGTAGTCTGGAGTTCTCTCTGGCTGGGGCGTTGAAAAGTAGACACCTTGTGCGCGCACGCTGCTCGAATTTCAAGCCGAGGCTCGAGGCTGCAGCTTAGTTTTTAGCTGATGTTGCTGTTGCTTTTGCTGTTGCTGCCTTCGTTGTTGCTGTTGCTGCAACATGAACGCCGCTGAAATTGCAGACAGCGGGCAGCAGATGATAAATGGCCTGGAAACACATTTGAGCTGCTGCAGCTCGCCTTCTGTAGCCGCTGATGCTGATCTATTAGACAAACGCACGCCCAAGGCGTCTGCACATCTCCTCTCCCGACCCCGCCCCCATTTTTCCTATTTATGGAAAGTTTACCCCGAGATAAAGCCAGAAAAACGGCAATTTCCATGATTATTTTTGTCGCTTTTAAACTAAAAATTTCTAGCTGTCAGAAATTAAATGGATATATACATAGCATCGCATCGCATCAGCAAACATGTTTAGGCCAAAGCAGCTGCACCACTCGCCGGCTTTAGTCTTTAGTCTTTAGTGTTTGGTCTTCAGACTTGGCTCTCTGCTGTGTGTTGTGTTTTGCTGTGTATTTGCATTGTTGTTGCTGTGGCTGCGGTGCAACAAATGTTGTTAACAAGCATATTTTGACAGCTCAACAAGATGTTGCAGATGCGCGAACAGCAACTATGGCTGCTGCTGCTGCTGCTGCAACAACGAGGCCATCTGCATATGCTGCCTGCGTTTTAGCTGCCATAAAGGGCAAAAAAAAAAAAAACAAAAGTAAGACAAACCATGGACTGTATGAGGGGGTGACTATGGGAAAGTTGTGGCTTTCTACTCTACATATGCCTTCTGCCACAGCAATTGAAGTTAGTGAGGCGCAGAGTCCATTGCATGCATATGTGCTGCTGCTGTTGCTGCTGTTCTCTGCTTCAAACTACTACTTCATGGCATAAAATGTGGAACATATTGTTTCTACTGCATGGCAGACTTGTTTTTAAAAACTATTTTGTGTGCATTTTATTAAACATTGCAGTGGATTTAATGAAACACACACAGATAGAAGAGAAGAGACAGCAATATAGAGATACAGAGAGGCTTCCACACACGGCCACATCTATTTGCTAATTGCATTTCGTTGTTTGTTGTTCTGCTCTGCGGCCACATACCTTTCACGCACACTGTTCCGGTTTCTACCCGCTTTCCACCTGTCACCTTGGTTAAATATCGCTTTGTTCCAACTGTCGCAACTGACACATCCGAATGTCTTGTCCTTGTCCTCACCGCATCGCATTGCCTGGCATCGCATTGCACATCGTGCGGCACATCACATCACATCAGTTCAGTTCGCATTGGAAAACTCGGGGAAATCCCGGGGAACATCGGGAGACTCGGGCCGACGGAGTTGCAGTCACTTCGCTTCGCGGCTTGTCTATCACCTGGCCAAGGAAAATGCAATTAACGAGCGCCATCAAAACGGCAAAAGCCTGCGAAATGAAAGGCAGCCAAACAAATGGCTGGCAGAGTGGCAAATTGCTTTACATATTTACATGCATGCCAAATGAGAGCGGTGAATGTGAGCTAGATGCGGCGAAATTTGCAATCTAACTGATTTCTTTAAGGTTAATGTCTTGTTTGTTTAAAAACCTAATTTTATACTTTCCTGGAAAGAGAAAAAATGTGGAAATATAAAATTGATATCAAAAATCACTTGCAATATAATAAACAAGGTAATAAATATCAAAAATCACAGCAAGAATCCCCGGAATTTAAAGAAAATATAAAACTATTTTATTGTTTATCAATTTCAATAACTGTAAGTTTTAATTATATTTAAAAATTTTAAAATCCCTGAAAATTTTTTTTAGAAATTTTAAGAAAATATTAAAATATTTTATTGGTTTACAATTTTAAAAAGTTTAAATTTTATATAAATTCTTAATTAGAAATGTTATTTTTTTAAGACAGTTGGTTTTACTGGTAAGTTATGTTTTCTTTGTTAGGTAAAATATAGGAAAATATACCTCAATTTCCCATCAATTTATTCTGAATAAAAAAACTCCTTTTGGGCTTTTCAATTCCGATTAGAATAGAATGTTCAATTATGTTGTCCCATACACTCAAACAATTATGTTCCCAATATCTCTTCACTTTGTGCATTTAGATACTTGAATTGGCTTGTGGGCCATTCCTTTTCCATTTGCTTTGTTGCAAATGCCTTCAATACTAAATGCGTAGAATGCCATCGAATTGACTCGGTTTGGTTGCAAATTGCTGAAAAATGCAGCTTAATGAACCGAACCTTGGGCTGACATGCACAAAATCCAGCAAGCAGGACAAAAAACACAAAAAAAAAGAAATATAAAAACGATGCCAGCATTTTCTGCCAATCACGAGAGGGCCACAAAAACGATGGAGAAGAAAGCAAAGCCAAATTGCAAGCAACCGCAAATTCAATAAATTTGAAAAGCAATTAATAACTGATTGACAAGTATTTATCTAGGAGGAAATGGAGGGTGGATGGGGCGGAGGAGAGAAGGATGCCGGACAAAAAAGCCGGAAACGGAAGTTGCAACAGCAAGGATGCAAAGAGCGGCGGCGGCAGCCATGTTGTCCGGGGGAAACCGAAACCGAAACCGGGCAAATAAGCGTAATACGTTGGCCAAACACCGAGCCAGAAAACAGAATCAGAAACAGCAACAATAGTCGAAACAGAAGCTGAAAATCGGGGCAGATAGAGCTGGAAAAAGCTGGCGGGAAATGAACCCGTGGGATCTGGCGGAAATTCAAAACCCAAAGTCAAATGGAACACAGCAATATAACGCAACGAATTGACGGAGACGAGATAAAAGAACAATCAACAATACGCCAGCCAGCAGCAACAGCAACAACAGCAGCAGCAGCAACATCAGGAGCAACATCAGCAACACCAGAAAGACAAAAAGCAGGCGAGAGTCCAACGGGCCAGAAGATGTAGCATAAAATGTAGCAAAACTTTGGAAAAATCATTAATAATGCTGGGGCAGGGCAATGGCATTGGTTTTCCTTTTCCGAAAGGACAAGCGCAAGGGCATGCAGCGCGAGGAGCTCTCGGCTTTCAGCTCACCAGCTCACAGCTCTCCGTCAATCAAAGCGCAAACAGAAACAAAATGAATGGCAAACAGTGGCGACTCGGACGCCGAACGTTGGCCAAGTGGCGATAGTGCACTGAGAGAAAAGTGTACAAGCTACATATGTCACTAAGAGCCAGTCAGAAAAAGATCCTAAAAGAAAGGATTTCATTTTAAACAAATATATCTTAAACATTGTAAGGCTAGTAAAATACAATTTTATCTTAATCAAATAGTTATCAAAAATAAAAAAATATATATAAATGTATATAAATTTAAGAAAATATAATGCCAATAAATATATTTTTTAAATGAATACAAATAACTTTAGATATTGACTAATGAAAATGTTTGACCACAAATATATGGATTTAGAATAACTTATGGTAGCAATTGAGGATTTTTCTAATCAATAACAAAAAAGCTATGTTTAAAAGCTTATAAATTAAATGGTAAGCCAAAATCGTTTTTTGTCGGCTTTTCTCGCATTTACCTCTTCTTTTTTCCGAGTGCCGACGTGGAGACAGGGCTAAATCCAACGGATGTCCATTGAAAAGGGGTCAGTAGTCAGGCTGGCTGGGCTAAGCGACTGTTTAGCTGCTTGTTTTGTTGCGGTCGGACGGCGATGGCCGAGCAGGCTGGCTAGAACAGGACATTCTGGCCCTCTGATGATGGTGATGAACAGGACGATGATGATGGCCAATGGCCCACCCGGCGAATGAGCAACGTGCTTTTCGCCAACCGAGGCGACAATGAACGCGATGATGACCCCGAACGTGGATGATAATAATGATAATCATGATGAGGAGACATTGAGCGAGCGATGTGGAACGGATGTGCAGTTGTTGTGGTCGCCAGCAAAGCAAAGAAAAGCACAATTATTCATTTGCACAATGTCACAAAAGT